TCCTGGTAGGACTTTTATTTCTCTCAGAATCACCTCACGGTCTTGAACTCCTTTCTCTATTTGTATTTCTCCTGAGCTCATTTTCTAACGATTTGCAGGTAGTTTGGCCAATATGGGTTCTTCTCTCTTTCCTTTACTGACCTTCTCTCTGTAGTCTTCTTTCCGTGTCTGCTGTATATCTTGCGTTGTTAAGATTGTGGCTGCCAATGAAGAATCCACGTAGGACTTCTAATTCTCCCAAAATTTCCTCGCTGTATAGATTGATTAGTCTGGTGAGAAGACACATCCTTGTCTTCCCCCTCCCACTTTCTATTTTTGCATATCTGCTGAACTTATTTTCCGTTCGTACGAAAGTGGTTTGCTGTATAGTTTTTTGTGCATTCTGAGATCCTTCTCAAATATGTCCAGGTTGACGTACGCTTCTAACAGACCTTTGTGGCGTATTTTATAAAACGCTATTGCTTAATCTATAAAACAGGCGTACACGTCCTTCTAAGAAACTCAGATTGAGGAATCGAAGAGCCGAGTTCGAATTCCAGTCGAATCCATTACATTCACTTACGTGCTAATACCCTTGGGAAAGGTATGAATCCAACTCTTCTGGCCTGAAGAGGCACGGTAGAGTAATGGATAGCGGCTCGGATTGAGAAGTCGAAGATCCGAGTTCGAATTCCAGTCGAATCCATTACATTCACTTACGTGCTAATACCCTTGGGAAAGGTATGAATCCAACTCTTCTGGCTTGAAGAGGCACGGTAGAGTAATGGATTGAGGAATCGGAGAGCCGAGTTCAAATTCCAGTCGAATCCATTACATTCACTTACATGCTTATACCCTTGGGAAAGGTATGAATCCAACTCTTCTGGCTTGAAGAGGCACGGTAGAGTAATGGATTGCGGCTCAGATTGAAGGAATCCGCCGAATTGAATTCCGAAGTTACATTCAATCGAATCCATTGAATCAACTCTTCTGGCTTGAAGAGGCACGGTAATAATGTATTGTGGGATTGAGGAAAAGCCGAGTTCGAATCTAATCGAATCCATTACATTCTTACGTGCTAATCTGAACAAAGGTAAAGGTCCTCGGCATAATTGCAATATAAGCCAGCGATTAATTATGTGGTTATTGATAAAACACAAGTGTGCCTGAGTAAGTCTCTGCAACAGGGATTAGCTCATCACTTCCGCGCTAATACGATTGGGAAATGTATCCTCTTCTTCACTCTCCAGTTATGGGTAAATACTGGACAGACCGGGTTCTATAACCTTAGGTGAGAACTTGTCTAGGAGAGGAACAACTTTGAGTTCAAAACTTGATCCTCCAGATTGGGGGGGTGGGGGGGTTGAGCAACAGGCTAACAACCTACTCACTTAAAAACTGGCTTGTTACAGAAACCGCAACGAAAGTCCTTCTGCATTTGCATTGCTCTTTCTGAGAATAAATATCGCGTTCCATTTACTTTTTTTCCAGTGTCTTTGACAACACCACATTTTGTTCTAGATATTGTCTGAATCAACTGCGCTTTCTATTCATCAGAATTAGGGTAATGAGTTGTGCTTTATGGCTCATTAGGGTGAGTGTCCGGTGGACATCACATTCGTTTGCCTCCAGTTTCTTCCGGGCTATGAAATTTATCAAACAAGTGTACATTATTGTTATTTTTTTTTTTTACTGATTTCGCCCCAAGCAAGGCAATAAAGACACAAGGGTAACTGAGTGCGAATCAATATGAGAAACAAAAACATTATCAAAAAGAGAGAACAATAACAGAACAATAATTAAGAAGACAGGAGATAGAATCTCTAATTATACAGCAGGGACACTGGAACTCATGTGGCACTAATATACGAATGAGGAACTTTATTATAAAACGTACCAATAGGGAAAATATAAGACACAAGAAAACTCACTGAAAACAACGAAAAGACTGTTGAACTGTTATGCCATATCAGCCCCTCTTATATGACAGTGAATGCTGGACAATCCTCTCACTGCTGAAGAAAAGACTTGCAGACAACGGAAATGTAGTACTACAGAACGATGCTGAGAATACCATGGAATGAACATGTGAGCAACGACGAAGTTTTAGATAAAATGCAAGCAAGAAGACACCTATATATAACACCGGAAAGGAAAAACTGAAATTAATATGGCACATAATGAGGAAAGAAGGCTTAGAAAATTTAACACTGACAGAACATATTGACGACAACAGGACAGAGGAACTCAGCACATGAACTACCTAACGGCCTTGGGTAAATACTTGGCAGAACATAGCGAAATGACAAATTTTACTAAGAGCTACAAATGACAGGAAATTGTGGAGAGCCGTGATCGCTTGCTTCCTTAAGACGCGCTACATTTCTCATAAATTTATTCACTGATGTGGGTGAACTATTTGTCGAGACGCTGGAAAATGTTGTCTAACTTAACATATATACATTGTTTTCTACTTTATAATGTGTCGTTTCCTCTCAGGAGGTATACATAACATCAAAAAGAGAGAGTTGAAATTTCTAGGAGATATAAGAAGGAAAGTGGGCTCGGAAAATGTAATACTCACAGGAACAATTTAAGGCAAGGCGGACAGATGAAATCAACGTATAACTTACCTAACGGGTTTGGGCAACACTTGGCAGAACATAAAGAAAGGACAAATTTTACTAAGACCTATAAATGACAGGAAATTGTGGAGAGCCGTGATCGCTTGCTTTCTGAAGAAACACGTTACATAGAAGAAAAAGAAAAAGAGGAAGAAGAAGAATGTCTTTCTATAATGAAGAAAATATTTCAGAAAGAAGGAAAGAGGGTTTGGAAAACATGATACTTGCAGGACAAATTGAAGACAAGAGCGACAGAGGAAATCAACGCATAACCTACTTAGCGAGCTTGTAAATGAATAGACGAAGGAAAAGAAATTGTGGAGGACCGTGACTATAAACTTACTGATATACTTACACGTTCGTCAATGAATGTACAAGAATTGCAAAGGAACGTGGATTGAGAGAGAAAGAGCTTATATTGAAAAAATATTTGCAATTTTAATCCTTTTTTGCTTCATCAGGATATAGACATTTTATCTCTCTCTCTTTCTCTTTCTCTCTCTCTCTCTATATATATATTTATATATTTATATATATATATATATATATATATATATTGATTTTATGGCTGATCAACACTTTTTAGGTTTTATTTTAAAGCTAGTTTTTTTTTTATTGTCAGCATTTCGTGTAACATAATAATTATTTACTGATGCAAGACCGACTATTTAACCCATAGTTGGGGGATAGAAGCGCTTGAACCAGACCATACCTATTGACATTACATTTGAATATTTGAAGGTTATAGCTACCAGGGAAGCAAGTAAGAAGAAGGCGGTTTCGCTGACGGAAAGTGCGAAAGAAGAAGCTGTTGGAGTAGAAGATTTAACCGTTTCGACAGTGAAAGGGTGGGACCTAAATGCCAACCTAGTAGCACGCTCAAATTCATGCAGTTTTGGGTACCAGTGAAAATAGCTCGACAGAGCAGTTGCCACGAAATTATTTGCGAAGACACATCACGTCTGTGAAAGAGTGACTGTAGACGAGATGCTAGATTAGGACCTATCACATTACATATCCGTCTCTGGATTTTGGCGAGGAGAGCGGGGGTACCAGACCATATATTGGCAACAGTATTCAATACAAGGACGAATGGTTGATTTGTAGATTTGAAGGATGGATTCAGGCAAGAAAAACCTTCAGACGCGACACAGTCATTAGGCATCTACACATTTATTACGGAATTAAGTGCATTAACAAGAAAGTTAGATTAAAAGAGTTTCAAATAGGCTACATTAAAATAGGGAACCGACATCTGATGCTCGACACGCCAAAACCTGATCGCCGAACTTATTTTCGAAGCACCGACACATTATCTTTAATATACCAACACCTTGTCTTCGATACATGAATAAATTCTCGATTCACCGACATGTTATCTTCAACAGAGCAACACCTTGTTTTCGATAGACCTGATCTTAGAGGCACTAACATTTGAACGACGAGGCACCAACACTTTGACTCTACAACGAAATTGTTCAACCTGATGTTCTACTGCAACTGGGTTGGGTTCTCTCTGGCGTCATGGAAACGCAGCGTGACTTTGCACTGAGATCTCGTTTTTACCCGATCATTAGTTAGATGAAAGTTAGATTAAAAGAGTTTCAAATAGTCTAGATTAAAATAAAGAATTTAGAACCTTTTAAAAACATATTTCTTTTAATATTATTCAGTAAATAATTGATTACTTCTAGAACATTCGAAGTCTAAAAGAGCTGTTTGAGGAACTTTTACGAATATACAGGGTGTCTAAAAAATTGATATCATTTAAAAGCAGTTGTCTTGAAAACTACTAAGTCTAGCTGAATGAAATTGAACATTTTAGGTGTTGAACATCATAAGTTTATTATAGGACAGATTGCATAAGTGTTCAATATGTGCACCGCCTGTGACACGGCAGACGTCAAGTTGGTAGTTAAGCTCTTGCCAAACACGCTGTAGCATGTCTACAGTAACATTATCCAGTGCAGAAGTGATTCCTTGCTTGAGTTCATCAATGCTAGCAGGAAGAGGTGGGGGCATAGACCAGTCCCTTCATATATATCCATAAAAAGAAATTACATGGGTGCAGGTCCGATGATCGCGGCGGCCATTTCATCAGAAAACTGTCTTGATCTCCACCACAGTCGATCCATCTCTATGGCAGATTCTCATTGTAATAATGAAAATAAAACATTAAATATAAAATCTTGATCTGTTTATTGCCTTCTGTGAAAATTTGAGGTTATTTTAAAAAGAATTGCCAAAATCATTGGCCTGCGAAATGATGCCAAATTTTTGGGGACACCCTTTATAATACGAAGGCTTGTTGGAATAACAATGTCGCAATTGTATTTGTCTCTAAAAAGAAAAAAAAGAATAATAACCCAGTCCTCTATTCAAAATTCAAATGTATGC